GATGCCTGTCCCAGCACGCAAGTCGTGTAAACCCTTCTTCTGCGGCGCCCATCCACCGAGCTCGAACCGCGCCGGTTCCGGTCTGGAGGCCATGAAACCGCTGACCTCACGACAGGTGAGCCCCACTGTGAGGCAGATCAACATGACTGCGAACCAGGGAAACGACTGACAACTGGTGATTGGTGCCTGCTTGAACATGTCGTGTATGGGTGTGTACACTGTCCAGCGCCTCTCTCTGTGTGTGTGTGACTTTGAGCTAACACCGCCGGACATATATATAGGCACAGCAGGCGTAAGGTGAGAACGAGGCGCGCGGGGAGAAGGGGGCAGGGGGAGGGAAGCTTTTAAGTGGTTTTGGACGCGTTCAGTGCTGGTGGGGGGGGAGGCGGGGTGGAGAACTGCCGAATATCTGTGTGTGTGTCCGTGGCGTTGCGTGGCTTTTTTCGCCAACCATTGTGTGTGATCACATTCAGTGAAGCTGTCTAGTTTACTGTGCGTTGGGGGGGGCGGGGGGGCGGGCGCGTTATTTGGAAAAGCCCCTGGGACACAACAGGCGGCCGTGGGCGTAGGGTTTGAATGAGTGATTGTGTCACTTTAACTGAACTCATTGTTTGGACCGCCAATTCACACAGGGAACTAAAGAATGCATCTATTGACGACAATGTCGCCAGTAAGTGGTTTAAGTGCTATTAATCTAATTTGTGCGGTCTTTGTGCTGTCATGCGGCAGAAAAGAGACGCAAGACGGAGAGGGAAAGCGAAAAAATAATTTCCGAATTTTGTCTCTGTTGAGGGCCAATCAGTTGTCTGTGAGTATACTTTACCCTGCTAATGTATATGTGTTGGTGGATCTGGGTTTAGGTGAATTGACTCTAGACACAAACATAGTCCTTGTTCATGAAATTATAATGAGGGTTGGGATTTGGATAACCTTTAACAACAAATACATATCTCTGTCTTCCTCGAGTTTAGGGTTAAGCGATAGTTAGACAGTTCAGGGTAGCTTTTTCGTAATATTCCAAGTACATATGATTTCTCAAAAGAGGATAGAGGTTTTTCAGCATTAAAAAACTAAGTTTGAACGTAAGTGGCGAGCAGGGTTTTAGCTTAAAAGGAAGACTACAGATTGAGGCAAATAGGAAAATAAACACTGTTTGTTATAATTGGCTGCTTTAATTTCCGAGGTATTAGGCAAAAACCGTAACATTATTCGTATTTTCACAAAATTAAATGACAGTATAAACAGAAGGTATACAGGCTCTAATTAGAAAAGGTCAGCTTCCTATCTATAAACATGCTTTATTAACGTAGGGCGATTATGCAATTGCTCCTCGTGAAATTAAGGGCCGATTTAACTTCCTCAGGGTCGCCTATTCCGACACACCTCTTACGTGAAAACCTTGTTAACCTATATTGGGATTTAATTACGAGCCCAGGGGAGGTAAGAGGTGATAAAAGAGAATAAATGGACCTTTTGACCATTAGGGCATTTAATCTGATGTAAATGTTGACACCTAAGCTGTCAGCTCTTGAAAAAGTAGATGACAGATTTTTAGGCGGAACTGTATTACCTTCAAAGAAAATGCAGGCTGAAGTGGCTATTCCTGGAACATTGGAAGTCGGCAGACTTAGGTAATGCACCACCTGGGCTTGTATGGCGGAAAACAGAAAGTACACCAGAAATGGCCGTTCTTTTCCCTTGTCTTTGTCATTAATGTCTTTCTGCGTAGAATATGCCAACCACTGAACGGCGGTTGGCGTGATGCGAGAGTGCCTCCCAAGTTACAACGGAAGACGAGTGAGTTCTGTAACTGATGGGTAAGTGCTCATTTCCCATGACAAGTTTCTTTTGGGGTGCACTTTTAAACAAACCACCATCCAATAAATAAAGTCATCATCTCTATATAAAAATGCTTCTGTGCATGTCATTGATAGACGGAAGCAGTCGGGCTCCGTCATCATCGTTCTAGGAAAACGTTATTTTATACTTTCCAGCCAACCTTGCGGAGCAGTATGAGCCCTTCACATATCTACGGTCAATGATATCATGAAGCCTGTGTTAAACCAGATTTCCGTCGCCATACTGAGTATGTAGGTGGTTGAATAAACGTTGATTTCTAAGCACAATTTATAGCAAATTTGTGCGTTCTTATTATGCATAACTGCACATGGAATGTGGCCTGCCATGAAACAAACATGTATCTTTGCTTTGGCCGAAAGTAATTTAATATTCCCATACAAGCAAAGGAGCTGGCCAATGATTAACTAGATTGATTAGCGTCATTTCGACTATGAGGTACATTATTTAAAATATCCACAGCTTTCAAAAGGTCCGATGAAATGCATGCGTTGATCTGCTGGAGTTCAGGGAAATTTATAAAAAAGTCCTGTACTTGAGATATGCTCTATAATCCTCATAATTCTGACCTTATTGTGCAGTTCAAAATGGCTTTTGTTCACATATAGTAAACTTAAAATAAATTACCTCATAGGACGCTCAGAGGTCTAAAATGTATCATTTTACCTGGGTGACGTATAGCCGATTAACACAACGCCCACATGTCCTTCAAGTTAATATCGTAGAAGCAAAGTCTCAGAGCCTTCGACCGAGATTGCTTATAATACCACGAAAGAAAACTTTCGAAAATGGGATCTGCTTTATGAAAAGATATGTGTGTGTATTCTCTCCGGCCAGTTCATTGCAAGAACACGGATGCCACGTGAAATACTTCCCTTCTATAGTCAGTCAACCCAAGGTTTACAGTCCACTTTGTATAAGCTTAAAGTTAGCACAAAAAGCCGTAAAATATTATTTTTCGCAGTTGCCTTAATCCCGCCTCCTATTTTGTGCTACTAATTTTGAGTTTTGTAATGCATTTTTGATGACTTAATATCATGATGGGAACAGAAATCCCAACGCTCACCCGACTGGGGAAAGTAAATATCTGCTGTAGT